AGCGGCGGGAGCCCCGAGGCGGCTCCGCAGGCCGAGCCCTTCCCTTCCCCTCGCACAAAATTTCGTTTTAGGAACTGATTGTCGAGAGGAGACTTCAAGCCTCGGAAATCAGGAAATGACAACACGCCCAGGGAGGTTGTTTTGCTGGCTACAAGGAGAAAGAAGGTTTTTCTTTTCTTGTGTCTCTCTGACTCGGTGGGGTACGTTCAGGCCGTGTTTTTTTTTCAAGCATCATCCCCTTGTCATTGGGGTTTTACATCTATAAAAGCTTGGATTCGCTAATAATAATTTATCCCCATGGGCGGTAGCTTTAAATAAATGTATAGAACAAACCGGTGTTAACTCACAGTTTTTGGTAAAATTTATGCCCGGGCTTCTGCCTACTGAGGCACAAAAGATGGAAGTGATTTTTTTTTTCAGTGCTCAAGAAAACAAAGAGGATTTGAAACCAATAGATTTGTTACAGAGGGCATTGTTAAGTGGTGTTGACGTGGTTTACTAAACTCTGATTCATTTAGCTAGGGCATATCAGCTAAAAAAATAACTTGCTCTAGAGGGATTGCCGTAGATAACAAACCTGTTGTTTCAGGTTATCAGATCATGTGAGAAACCCACCCAGGGCTGTTGCTGCAGTAACTTTGAAAAGCCCTATCTGTAGGCGGTGTTCAATCCAGACTTTACCTTTTTGACTCGGACCAGACAAGACAAATATCTGGTACAAGTATAATTAGTAATACTTTGAGTAATATTATATGTGATAAGGCATTCTGAGTACAGATTAATGCTCATGTACTGTGTCTTCCAAACAGGAACTATGCAGAGGATGGGGCCTCCTCAGTCTACTAGAATTGTGCCAGCATGTAAAAAAAAAAAAAAAAAAAAAATTAGAATTTTCCAAACTCTTTTGCAGCATCCCTCATTATTTTTAAAAACCTCAGTAAAATCCTCCTGAGAGTCAAAATTGGCCAAGGGACAGAAAAACAAAGGATTTTGAGGTAACTGATGCTCTAAAGTATCTTTATCATCTGTACAGTTATGTGACAGTCACCGTTTAATTAAAGAAATCTAATGTATTGTAATCTTAATTAGTTGATGGTTAATTTCCTGTAGCAACATAAAGGAAATAATTCGAGGTTTACTTGGGGCTGTTCAGCCATTTCACTTTATGACTCCTCTGAGATGGTGATTTCCCATGCTCACCTCCCTTCTCAACTGGGGTTTACAACATTAACTAGATCCTGCCTCATATCAACGTAAGGTATGTTTGAAACATGATTTAAGTTTTGCAATAATGAATATTTAAAAAAAAAAACAACCTACCCAAACCACACCAAAAATTAGTTAGAGAGCAACTAGGACAACCTTGTAGTCTTAACAGATCTTTTAACTTTGTACCAGAATTACACATGACATGAGAAAATAGTTATAGGTGACACACTTGGCAACAAAGGATTTATTCAGAAGTTAAGTTCACCACCTGCAAAATAAACACAGCATCCAGCACTCATCTAGGATGTACTACCTGCTTTGTTCAAGACACTTCTTAGGTGGGCTTAGGCCCATCACCATGCCTTATAAATCACAGGCCATAGAAAGCACATCATCCAAACATCATCCATTTTCAGTTTGCTTTTGGCATTATAAAGAAACTAAATGTGGCACGTAACTGTGACAAAAGGCAGGGGTCAGAACAGAGGCAACTGTATTCAGCCAAAAACCCAACCTATATCCACAGTCAGTTTTAGGACAACCCAACACAGCCACACAGCGCTTCAGTAATTCAAAAGTCAGCGTTTTGATTGTCCTCCAAAAGATGATACCCTGAAAGAGCTCTGAGCAGCACTGTATATGTGTACATACATATATGAACGCTGCACTGTGTCCAGTTTTCTAAGCGTTTGAAAAATCCTGCTGCATTGCACCTCTCTTGCTTTTGCAGTAAAAAAATACCACTCGGGTCTAATATTTGTGAGAGGTATAGAACTTTTACATTCATCGGATCTTCCACAAAAGGAAGGAGAGAACATTGACCTTACAAACAAGATCAGATCTACTTTAACCAGGTGGGCTAGACTGAAAAGGCACCTAACACCTGCACAATTACAGAGTTATCTATTTTATAACATGGCCAGATCAGAATCCATGACCAGACTGACAAGAAGTAAGGTGTTCTATTCAAGCTGCTATCATTCTGAGATTTAAATCTCATAAGAAAATGAACATATTCTAGCCATTATGATTTGGAAGAAACCTCAACCATGTGAGCCAAATTTAAGGGATGCTTCAGGAGACAGACAACATTTACTGAAGAATACTTCTATTAGCAATAGGTTCTTGTAGAGTTGCTCCTCAAGCGAACCTAGACAACATTAGCAAAAATACTTATTTACTGGCATTATTCTACCTACAGAAAGGTCTTTTGCTAGGAAATGTCATGACACAAACACAACAGGAACTGGTCTGAGGGGACAGGCCTTCAGTCAGAAAGCTGACTGCACATAGCCATACCTCAGGTAGTCGCTTGTGAAGTTCTTGTGGATTCAACCCATTTTCACATCCTGCTAATAGACTAATCTTGATGAAGGCTATTTTCTAAAGAAACAGTGATTTACACTTGCCTGATCTTTACATATATTACAACCGGCTTCTGTAAGCTTATTCCCACCGCAACTGCTCTTCCGTTTACAGGGTACAAGTCCCTGTTCTTTATCCCCTCACTTCTAAAGTATATGATTTTTTTCACTGTTAAAGCTTTTAGCTGTGCCTCAGTCCTCAAGTAAAGGGAGAGTGCAACAACAGACTATGATCTATACATCATAGACCTAAAGACACACCCCGCATCCTGCACAGGGGCACAGCACATCCCCAAACCTCAGCACCTGGGGACTAGTTAGCAAGACGTCCTGTTTACTTGAGTGCCAAGTCATTTGGAGACTCTTATCTCCCCGACCTTCACCCCATCCTCCCAGGTGTGAGCCTTCTGCCACTGCTGGGGTTCCACCTCCTTCTGCATCTTTTACATCTGCGGGCAGGGTGTTGATTATAACTCCAGACCCCACTGCTGGCAGCCTCATGACCCCTGCACGGTGGCACACTGACACACCACTCTCCCTCAGGAACATTTGCTGTCACTGATAAATAAGAAACCCTGAACAGGCCTTGGCCAATTTGGTCCTTTAAGAACCCCCTTTTTGGTCCTACAGACATCAGCAACTGGGCACCCCCTCTAGCACAAAGCCCTCTAATCTGGGGACAAGACAGCCGATTCCCAGGTAACCTCGGGGCTCCTCCGGCAGGATTTGGGGTGCCCCTGAGCCGCAGCACCCCTTTCCCCACAGCTGGGGCCAGACCCTGCCGGCCCGGCCACGCCGAGCTGCAGGCACCAGATGGCGGCATTCGCCTCTCGCAGGGCGCATCCCAGCTGCTTCCAGGGGAGACACCCCTCCCTGTATTTTGTTTTTGCTCAGTCGAGGTTCTCGGCCGAATTCTCCAGGTTTACTGCAGCCCTGTCGAACCAGGGATAAGCTCAGAGAAGCCCAGCAGGTGTTACAGAAGCAGCACCAAGAGACCAGTGGCTTTGTCGTAGCGTCACCTGAATTTGTTTTGCACACAGAAAATATTCCATCTGGAGACTATTAATGGAGGGAAAATGTATCAGCCCCAGGCTTGGCTCCGGGGCAGGTTTTGGAGGACAAAACACTCTTGCTACCCTGTTCAGGCAGAGCTGTGAGGCTCAGGCACTTCTGTAAATTCTGGCTTGAAAGCAGTAAACGGAAAATTAAAACAGTGAGCCTGACTCACTGCTGTTCAACTCCAATGTTAATCCCCTGGAAGATGGGAGTTCTCTCTGGGATGATGCAGTATGTGGTGGATTAGGGGCCAGGATTTAAAACTGCCCACGCAGGCCAGGCGCTGGCCCCGGAGCTACCCCCCACAAATGCGATTACATACGCCTCTCGGGATGGCACAAGACTGTCCCCCCCCGCGGTAAGAAGGTGATACAGAAGAGCTATAAGCACCCAAGCCGAGGGGAAGCCTGGAGCCTGCTCTCTAGGAGCCAAATTTCATCTCCTTTAAACGGTTACCGAGGCGCTGGTGCTGCTGGCTCCGTCCTCCCGGGGGCTGAGGGCTGGTGATGGCCCCCGTAGTGCCCAGAGATGTGGGTGTGGTGGCGCAGAGACCTTCGTGGCCTCCGGGTTTGCTGCGAGGTGTCATTTCTTCTGATCTCTCAATTAGGGAGGCCAGGAAGGGAGAGCAGCCATTCATTAGCAGCTGCTTCACCAGCAGCTCAGGGGAACTATATTTACCATCCAAGTGTGGTCAAACAGTTTCCTCTCAACAGGGCGGTGTCTTTCTTTCCACACACCGCACTGAACAGCTCATATGAATTTTAGTTTGTGAGGCTAAAAGCAGTTAGGGAAAAAAAAACAACCCAACCAACAAACCAATCCGAAAAAGCGATTTTTACATCAGAGAAGTGTGAAGCCTGCTGGAGCCCCCATTCCTGTTACTGGTGAATAACAGAGAACAGCATGTGGAAAAAATTCATCAGATCTGTCTGTCCATCTCCCCGCAGATAGAGGATCCCTTTGATGCAGTGCAGTCTTTGTTTAATTAAGTTTTCAAATCCCAGGCAAGAGGATCTCCCATGCCCTAACGAGGTTATTTGCACATTTGCTTTGCTTTCTGTTCCCTCCCCCCATTCCTTCTTCCCCCTCAACTGGGCCTCCAGGCTTTCTCCTGCTTTTTTCTTTCATGCTCCGCAGAGAGCCATATTCTCTTCCTCCCCCACCTGGCTCCCTGGGGAGAGGACTGGAAAGCAAAACAACAGACTCACTCACTGGGAAACGGTAATTTGCACAGCCCTCCTCGCTCAGCCGCTCCCACTGAAAGAGGTGACAGAAGAGCAAAGGCACCCTCTAATGAGGTCAGGCCTTAGGACCAGGAAAAGCCGGAGGGTGCGAGCGAAGGCTTTGAAGCCAAGGCTAAAACCTTTGATGGCTCCAACTGTGCTCGGAGGGAGGCCCCGAGGTAACCAAACTCCAGTCATCTGGGTTTGCTGGTTACATCCCTGACAAAATGGCCTCTTAGTCTCCTCTACACTGTTCAGAGCTCTTGCAAGAGATTTATACCAGCTAAAAATATCACCCGGTTAGTGCTTGTTTGTGCATTTCTCCTTGTGAATTTATCAATGTCCCCATCATGGTTAGAAATACTAACTGCTACGTGTGTGGCTGTGGTATAAACTGTGCAATTAACACATTTTATATTTTCTTTAGAAATATTGCGAACAAATCCCTGCAAGCATCTTTTCCCTACTGCGCCGGATGCTTCTCAAAGGTAGATCGTAACTTCAGCACAGTCCGTCCTCCCACCTCAGGGAGCTGTAACAAAGTCACGTCCAGGGTTGTTTTGACTTCTTCTAAGTTCTTTGGTGGAAAGAAATATCCAGTGGAAGAGCGTAGCCACGGCAATGCTGTTTGGCCATCACAGAATGCTTCAAATGCCCATTTACTGATCCCAGGTCAGTGCCTCTGGCATGTCTGCAGTCACTCGGATTAATGGGATATTCTTTCAGTGGAGATGCTGGTAACCACATTCAGTGAAAACCCATTATATAATGGAGACTCAAAAAGTTCATGGATGAATTAGACCAGATGTTCTGGACATGACTTTGGTCCGTGCTTATTAATCCTTGAAGATGTAACTAAGAAACCTTGGTTTCAGAGGCAGATAATTCAGTGTAACTGCAGTGTAACTGCTACCCTGGAAACTAAGATGTGAAGCAGGTCCCTGTTTCACCAATATTTAACAAATGTCATCTTTAATTGGTGATACACTTTGTTCTCTTTAATGAGTGACACTCTCCTTAACAATTGGGACTCACGTAATAAAATCAGAAACGCTTATTTGATTGCTCTGAAATAGCGGGGCTTAAAAATAAGCTGTCATGAGGACTGTAATAAAAAGCAATTTGATGTCTGTAGAAGCCACAAGAATAGATGAGGCCGTGCGAGCACTGCTAATAGGGCCTGTCTCCGTTTGGACAATGTGTTTGCGTTCACCCAAGACTGGGTTTAATGGGAACGTATGGCTGTGCCTATGGCTTGGCTAAAAGGAATCGGTAGCTTCTGATAACACTAAGCAGATTATCTTTTCAATCCTTCCAGGGAATTTTTCCTCAGAGGTAACAAATACATTCACTTTCTTTCACTTTGAGAAATAGGAACTTGTCCTCTAGACTACTCTTGCAGCCTTATGGTCCAGCCACATCCTGAGTATCCAAATTCTGTTGAAATTACCTGGTCAGAGATCATACAGGGAGTATCAAACCTCGCACGGCATCAACTCGTAGGGTTCCAAAGCAGATCAGAATCTGGCTTTTTGCTTGAGCTACTACTTGCAGTTTTATTGTTTAATCAGTTGGTAAGTCTTCTCTGTATGTCCCCAGTTTCCAAGATTTAAAAGAAATGTTTACTGTACTGTACAATCAACGGATATAAATTAAATTTGTACTGAACATTAAAATCAAGTGGCATCTTATTTACCAACTCCTCAGTTAGATTTGCTGTGAATTGTCCCATTTTGCTGTTTGTATGATAACTGGCATCACAGAGGTCATCAGTATTGTTGATTTGCCTCCTCCTATGCAACTTAAGTGTCCTGTATGTGAGTCCATGAGGACACAAAGGAAGGAGATCTCTTCTGCACAACTGAGACATTTCTCCTGATCAACCCTGGAACAACTTGGGGCACAGGAATGCTGTATTAGAATAAAAAGTTCTCACAAAACAGGAGAGGTGGCAAACGAGTAAGTATTCACAAATGTGATCTTTTCTTTAGTCACAGCTGAACTGAACACTTCAGAATCCAAGATTTATTATCGCTAGAAACAGGGAGCTGTCTCACTGACACAAGAGGAAAGGTCTTAGTCACAAAGTGCTGTAGAGATCATTTCTATTGTTTCTGTGGTTTCTGTGCTGGTATAAAAGAAGGTGAAAGGCACTCCTTGGCATTGCGACTGGAACGTCACACCAAGACTGGCAGATCTGAACTTCACCGTGGTATCTACAAGTTCATCAGTAAGTAGATAATGTTACTTTTGTAACTGGAAGATGCTTTTTCATTAATACATAGTTTACTGTTGATCACAAGAGAAAAGTATACCTTATCTATTATATGAGCAGGAGTTCTACATTAGCATAACAAAATATACAGCATGTAAATATACACATACCAATATTTATGTGTATATATCTGTATTTAATACAGATATTTTTTAATCAGAACTAATAACCATTTGTTATTTCATGTCTAACTTAACTTGAACACATTGTCGAAGGAAATTATTCACAAATTAGTGGAGTAGACTTATTAAGAACAAGATTAATTTTTACAAATTATGTATAATTTGGCTTTCTACCCAGTCATTGACATTGCAACATTCAAGTTAGTATAAAGAAAAGTAATTTGATGAGATGCTGCATTTTTTATTAACCCAAACTGGCTCAGCACAAAAAGAAGTATTTCTTAAAAAAATAGTAGCCTCATTGTACAGGGACGTATCTTTACTATTCTTACACAAGTTTAAATGCTGCAACCTCTGTTTTGTTGTCCATCTAAGTTTTGATGTAACAATTAATACAGGTTTTGGTAGTAAATAAATAATTTAGTAAATAAACTAAAGAGACAACCTGGAGCCAATCTTAAAAGCAGGGTGCAGTCAGTAGTGTAAAAGAATGCAGAAATTTTGGTGATAGACCTGGTGATAAAAGAGTGGTGGGGTTGGAAGGATGGGTAGGCAGAGGTGCCCCAATGCCAAGAGCAGATACAGAACTGAATGCAGTTATAACTTAGATGAAAATAATCACTGTAGAATTACATTTGCTAGTTATCACTTCCCTAAGCAGAAATCCACTTCTTTACAGAAAAGAAATCCAGTAGCAGCCTAATATCCTCCCTGTGCAGTGGCAGATTTGAATGTCAGTGCTTGTATTTCTCCTGGAAAAGGTTGTATTGTTAAAGGTCAAATCCCAGGGCTGTCTACACCTTTACACTTGATCTGCATGGTCCAGTCTTAAACTCTTGAGTTTTGTGACAGATTTCTTAGGCACCAATCCTGATCTTTTTGTTAAATTTCTGCTAAGTTTTTATTAGGAAGGTCTCTCGCCAGTTCTGAATGAAATAATCTCCTGTGCTTGCAAACGTACAAGAGTGGAAAGTAGTATATTGGGAGGCAATAGTGGAAAAGGAGATTTAAGACTCTTAGGAAGGAAATGTAGAAATATACTATGAAATTATTAATCTTTTACTGGTATATGTTACAAGTCCACATGTCTGATGCTCTGGGTGGTCCTGGGATGATGTAATTTAGTACAAAGCTCCACTTTTACCAGTGCTTAAAGGCTGAAATTAATTTTGTCAGGTGAAAGAAAGAACAGAGGAAAAAAGATTTTTGATCATCCTGCCAGCTTCTTCTCCCGTGGAGCAGATTTAAAGAAGAGAGAAAATGTTCCTTCCCCAGAGATCTCTGCAGATGGTTACATTTTTGGCAATTCTTTTTTTTGCCTGTTTCGCAAGGTGTCAAGACACTGAAAAGTAAGCAATATCATCCTTTTACTTAATACCATTAGAAGACTGCTTGCCTTTGATATAACAGGCTGTATTCCCCACCACTGTCATTTACTCCAGGGCACGGTGGAAGGAAAATTCTATACATTTGATATGGCAACATTTTACATCGCCCTCTATGCAGTATAAAATTAGACCGATTTGCGTTTTTAGATGCGTAACATACACCACATTTCAGCTGATGCTTTTAAACACAGTGCAGCAAACCACGTCAGGATGTTCAATGCAAGCCATGGAAATGGCACACGCTAAAATTCCGTATTTAGGTTCCCATTCAGATCCAAATCTGCAGTGAGAGCTGCAGTGAGGTGTTTATCTAAACAGCCTGAAATTCAGAAATATTGCACCCCAGAATTAGCCTGCCCTCCCCAGTCGATATTTGGATCAAAATTTTTGGTATATCGGAAGATAAGGATTTTTTTTTTTAATTTCATGGACACTAATATCAGTTAAATTACTCCTGATTTACAGCTCTGGAAAGAAATAAACAAACCCAACGATCCTAGAACACTAAGGTCATGAAAAGGGATTTTTATTCTGGTGTTTAAAATACTGAAAAGAACCCAAATTTGGGAGAGACCAGATTTCTGTAATAGCTTTTTAAGCCTGCTAAGGTAATTTTGTCACTGTCTCCCCAGTTTGGTGGGTGTTTGTTTTTTTGTGGTTTGGGGTTTTTTTTGGGGTGTGTCTGTGTATTTAAAACAAAGATGATCCAAGGAATACCTTTTGGAAATGGCACAGTTTTTCAGCTTGCCATCTGCAGGCACTCGGGAGTGCTCACGCCGTGGGCTCTGCAAGGGTAACAGAGGTTCTACGACCCTCACCTCGGGGCTGTCCTCCACATCCTGGGTGGACACCACCGCCTCTCCTTCCTCATCGTAGAGAAGCATCTAAAATTGATGGCTGCAAATCTGCCACGTTTAAAACAGGAGCTTAGATCTGGCTGTGCTTGGTTCCTAACCTAACTCTTTCTTCCCGTTGTTGCAGTAGAAGAGCAGTGACAGAGCATCAGCTCATGCATGACAAAGGGAGGGCGTTTCAAGGGCTGAAGCGCCTGATGTGGCTCCACAACGCCCTAGGCAGCGTGCACACAGCCAGCAGCAGGGATATTTCGCTTTCAAATGCCATGTGGGATTCGCAGAAGAGCCAAGATCCCTCAGATCTCTACAGCAGCACCAACAGAGACGAGACTTCAAGCCTGCTGAAGCAGCTGCTGGAGCTGACAGAGAAGGAGCAGGGCTTCCCCCCGTTAAAGCAGCCAGATTTGTATGTGAAGAGCCCGAAGGGTAACTGGAACCCACAAGACCTTTTCGACCTCCTTCAAATCAGAGTTGGGCAGCAAGAGAAATCCTAGCACCCAGCCGCAGAACTTTTCCCACTAGTCTCAATCCAGCCCAGTCCATCCATTGCTTTAGACATGTAATGTTGTAAGGAAAAGCTCTAGCGCAAAGGTGAACCGCAGAAGAATAATAATGTCCCTTTGTTCCGTTAATTACTCCTAGATGTTGAGTAGTGACCCTTGTCAGGACGCAGGCTCTCTCCCTAGCAGGCAATCTGAGTACTCTCATTGTGAGTCGGGGTCATTTGCCATGGCAGGGCCCTCCCTGTCTGTCCCTCATATTTTAGGGCTTCAGCTGCTCTTTGTAGCAGGAAGTTCATTAATCTGCATATTCACAGGCTCACTTGCTCTAATGATTTGACTCATGGATAAGCAGTTACCTCCCAATACAGATTCTCTCCTGTTTCACACCTGCCTGCAGTTCTGCCCTGCTCTGCAGTATTAATGACTTCCCTTATACTTTAGGTCCAAATGTTTGATCTTTTCCTGCTTCTCCACCACACAGAATAGTTTAGGTCTCTCATCTCTCAGGTTTTTCTTCAGGGTGGCAAACTTTTGCCAGGCCAGAGTGGTAGAAGTTGGCAGTGATCCCCACTCTCCCAGCCAAAGCCCTAGACTTCCACCTCTGCTGGTGGAAAAAGATGAGGATCAACTTCCAGGCTCCATATTTGAGCCTTTTGTTTCAAGACTTCCTACGTTTTCTTCATTCATGTGAAATCCTCTCCAAGAGCTCCCACAATGTTTTCTTGGCAGAAAGACACCTTCATGAGGCTGTTCGTGTTTTCTGAGAGGTAGCACCTCATTTTGCTATTCACCTTTAATATCAAACAGACCAGTTTTGTCTAAGCAAAGCAAGGTCCAGTTTAATTGCAAAACTAGTCTTTCAATCTGTCATGTGTGTGACAAATACATCAGCATTTCCATCATGTTGGGACTATACACGCTGTTTTAAATCCTGAAATTTTCCTGTTGCTGATAAGACTTCAGCTGCATGTGCGGAAGGTATTTCTCAGTCATTAAAACCCAGGAACTCCTTGATGTTGCCAATAATAAAAACTCTTTTCACCCTCTGAATTGCACTTGCTTTTTTTTTTTTGGTAGAAATGTAAATAAAACAAAGCAAAATCCTCTTCTGTCAGCATCTCCACACATTTGGGGTGAGTACGGAATCACATTTTTTTCATCATGTTGTTCCTCAGGGCTCCCTGTTGGATTCCCAAGGCCAATCAAACCATTACTGAAGCAGATGGTTTCAGATGTTCCTGAAGAGCCCAGAGGGCCAAGATGCAAACGGGTTGTAGCGCCCAAGCAGTGAGTTTGCTGAGCTGGGACGGGGGAGCCCTTCCTGCCCCAAACCAAGCTCTGGGCTGGGCCAGACTTCAGAGCTGGGGACTGAAACCGAGGGGGCCAGACTCTGAGGAGCTCAAACGGCCGCCATGTCCCGATCAGCGCGCCAGTCCCTCTGCCCCCGCGGATGTGCTGTCCTCCTGGGCTGGGGGACTGTTTCCTGAGCTCTGGGAGCCTGAGCTGACCCTCGGTGTCTAGGTGGCACCTGGCCTGGGGTACACCTCACTCCTGGGGTCACCACCGGGTGACTCAACGCGTGCCCCCCCTCTGGGGACGGGGAGAAACCGGCCTCCCCTCCACCGCGGGCTGGACACTGCAGTGAGGGTGCGCGAAGGCACAGGTGCCCCGCCATTGCGGGGAGGAGGGAAGGAAGGAGCCCCGTGGGCAAGGCTAGCACCCAAGCGCTGGTGGCCCTGCCTGGGCCCCGGAGGCGAAGGGCTGATCGGAGATACGCGACCCCCCCGCGCATGCGCGCCCAACGCCGTGCTCGTCCATG